ACAAACAAGAGACGTTGGTCAGCGTCTTAGTAGGCATTAAAAACAGCCCTGTGTTGAAACAATGCATCAGGCAAACGCAGCGTTTTGATGAATGTCGTAGTGTTGCGCTCTGGCAAAAGTTGAGCCCGGTTCAGTTTTTTCACATTCATTGAAGTGAATGAGGAGGCTGACGTGAGGAGGTTTTACACAGGGCTGAAGTCGGTCTGAAGACCCACTGGCCACCAGGATTCCCTCAATATGACACATTTTATCTTCACAGAGACATTAACATAAGTTCATCTTAAAGATTTTCTCCATCAACCTATTAGCATTCACTGCTCAGTGTGTTTACATTGTGTCACCACGCCTCCATATGCTTCTTTCTGTTAGCGATGTTCAGCGTTCCTGCAAATGTGCAGATACAGGAATTATTTCATGCATGTTGAATATAAAACTCAGATCTGTCCTTTGAAAAATTTGTTTTGGTAGACTAGAAAAATCACCAACACTGATGATTTTTCTAGTGTGTTTGCCCAGTGTTTGTGTATATAAAGCGTCTATTATTATTTCCTAAGGTGTTGCTAAGATTCATTTTGCAGATTATCATCTATCTCTGTGCTCACTAATTGCCATTTTAAAAATATTTGTTTTATTCTAATCTATTTCTTTCCCTTTTCTCATTATTTCATTCTTACACAATCTTTCAAGAAATATTCCTTAATATGTAACGTTGTAAGCGCAGAATATGTACGAGATAGACATATAAATAAACATACAGAATGTAATTAGTAAGAAACTCTAGTTCGTAGGAACATGAACGTCGATGTCTGAACCTACAGCAAATAAATATTTGCAGATATGTAAATGTCTCTTTATGTTGCTCGCTAAATGTCACTGTGTGTTTTGCATGTACAGACACAACTATATGTGCTTGTGTGGTTGCCTGAGAGCATGTCCATGTACTGGAGTGTGTATGTGTGTACTTTATGGTATGTGTTAAAGGAAAATTCCACTGTTGGATCCTCTGATGCTGTTATTTATCATCATTCTGAGATGTTCAGTGGATTCCCAGAGTCTTTTCTGGTGATGAATTGTTTATAATTTACATACCTTTTGTGGTACCAGCTTTCCCTCATTGTTTCCTAGAATTATATTCTACAAACCTCAGACAGCGGCTATGAACCTGTTGATTTTCTGCTGTGGTTTTTTTTTACATGTAGGTGGAAAGAGTAAAAAGTGACAATGAAAGCAGAAAGAGCTTGAGGTTTTGTAGCTCAAAATAGTGAGCATCTCGCCTGGCTGGCAAAATGCGACATATCTTTTGGCTGCATTGCATTCTGGTCTACGGAGGCTGAGCAGAAGTTATCTGTGCTTCTATAATGGATTTCTCCCTGCTGAATGTTGGTGTAAAAGGGCAGCTGATGAAAGACAGTCTTGCTCTTTGATTCTGAGGTACTGACATGAGAACCTGCCACTTAATGCAGATGTTTTACACTGTGGAATATTTATTTACATTTGTCCTCTCGTAAAAAAAAAAAATAGACCCAGATGCAAAGCACATCGTGTCAAAAGTAT